ACAGCAGGAGTTAAAGTTACTCTTATGACATCATCCTTGTTAATTGAACTTTTGCCGATGTTTTCATTTTCGTCAGGATTATAATTATCGGAATTGGCTGAATCCCGATTGTCATTTGTTATTTCTTTACCTTTGGAATTTGAATTATTTACTATATTATTGATATCCATTGTGTTTGTTGATATCGTCGAGGACGAAGCTGAGTAGTCCCCCTTAATTGAACCAGTTACTGACGAAGCTGGTATTAATGTTGGAGAAGCCAACGCGGTAGAAGTCGTCGTTAAAGCAGTTTTTAATGAACGTATTTTACCTATACGTGTACTTTTATTATTTGCTTCTGATTTTGCTATAATTTCTTCAAATTTTTGCATCTTTCGTAGCTTTTCGGAATTTTCTGTTGCTGCCGGTGACTTTGTTTGTTGACGTGTGTAACCAGAGCTTGCAGATCCTCCGGGACTTAATGGCCTTGAAGAACTACTTGGAAAATTGGGTGATCCTGGCAATGAAGGAATTTTTGGAGACAGAGGTGAGCGTGGAGACAGTGGATAATTTGGTGTCGTTGATCGCGATTTCAGCGAATTTGGCTTCGTAAATCGAGATTTCGGAGGATTTGAACTTGAAGATCGTGATGATAAGGGGTTCGGTGATGTTGCTCGTGATGATGCGGGCGTTTTTGTTATTGGTATATGCGATGCTAGTGAAGAAGAAGATGGAGGAGGATTTGGCGAAGGTGATCGTGAATATCGTGGTAGAAAAGAAAAGCTTGTTGGAGACTTTATTGGTGATTTTGGTGATCGGGGTAAGAGAGAAAAACTTGATGATCTCGGTGATAAAGAGAAATTTGTTGAAGATCTTGGAGATAACGGGATTGTTGGGGAGCCATGCAGGGATGTTGGTTGACTCGATTGTTCACGTTTATTGAAAAAACCAAAAAAGCTCATTCCACGTTTGTTAGATCTTGGCGTTGTAGGAACAGGTATTGATGAAACTGGTGAAGTAACAACGGGTGATGTAAATATAGGTGACGTGACCTGATTCTCGGAATCTTTTTCAACATTATCAATCGTCGGTTTAATAAAATCTTTTAAGATGTCCAATTCCTCTGAAGGTGTTGTGGTCGCGGAATTAATTAAAAAAAGAGGTGGTGGTCCTACACTAAAATTATTTCTTTTCGGCTCTGAACTTTTTCGAGATGATAAATGAGTAGGAAATGGTGGCTGTTCGGAAGAAGTTAACTTCATACTTTCTCCAGCCATAGTTGGTAAATTGCAAAGGATTGGTGACAAATCGCTTGTTGTTTTTTGTTTCAATTTTAAATCAGTAGGTGTGATGTTTTCATTTGTTTTACGCCTAAACGATGGCTGTGATGAACTTTGTGATTCTTTTCTTTCGGACGTCACTTTTTTCGATGTTACATTCGATCTCGTTCCCGTTCCTACTTCTTTACTCTTTATGCCGTCTTTATTCTCTAACTTTACTTCAGTATTGTTTATGCCATTCGCTTCCATTTTATTTACTCCTCTCTCCCTTCTTCGCCTTTCTCTCCTTACTTCTCTGTCTTCAAGTTTCGCGTTACTGCTTTTTTTCGTCCTTTTACGTATTAGTGGCCTTTGTTGATTCAGATTTTGTTGAGCCGCGTTAGCTACCACCAATTCAGTAAATGACGCGGCTAAGCTTTGTTCCAACAATTGTCTTCTAAATATTTGTGAAGCACGATTTGCTTGCTTAACTTCAAGTGAAACCCTTGTTCCTTGTGTTTGTGTTTGGGTTTGTTTCTTGTTTTTCTCTTGAGCGTTATTTTTAACTTGTGTCTTCTTCGTCGAACTAGATGATTCCGACTTTAAGCCAGCAAATGCATTTTTAGGGTTAAATGATTGTAAAAATGATCTTGAAGATTTATCCACTTGTATCGATGGAATTTTTTTGTGCATTTGATTAGAAGTCGAACGTTTCTTATTATGTTGAGGTAAAGGTATAAGTGAGGCATGAATTAATTTTGGAGGACCAATTGGACCAGGTATCCAGGGGAAACCTTGGCTTTTTATTTGAGGCAAATCTGCTTCCATATCAGTTGGGTCATTACTTGATAAAGGATTTGATGTGGGAGCGTATTCCATTTGACGTCGTCTTCTTGTACCTTTTTTCACGACTTGCTGTGAACGTTTTAAAGGAGTACGTTTCGTAGATCGTGTTCTATTTACGTTTGAATTCTGTGGCTTTGACGTTGGAATTTCCGAAGTATTATTATTCTTATCTTGTACGGTAACAACTTGATTCAGTTTCCCTTTTTTAATCGGTATTCCTGAACGTTGCTTTCCTTTTGTGGAATCCTTCCTTTGCTTTATCTTATCATCATCATTGTTCTTTCTTTTACTTGAATTTATAATGGCGTGTCGTTTATTTGATTGATGACTGTTGACACCTTGAATTTGTTGAGAATTTCCGGATGTTTTCAAAGGCGAAGTTATCTTTGTTGGAGAATCTGAAATTATTTCTTGTTCTTGAGTTAATGATGTAGATTCCTGATGCGTGTTTAACTGCGAAACAGAAACCTCAATCACTTTTACAGTTGTAACGATAATTCCACCTAAATCAGAACTTTTGTTATCATCATCAATATAATTCGAATCATTTTCATTAGAATTATCTATGGCGGATTTAATCATGGAATTCGTTAACTTTACAGGAATCGAGGTTCTATCTTGCAAAGGATGTGGAGATGACAAAAGTGATGGTAAAGATGTACCAGGGAGTGTCCACCTTGTGGCTTTAATTGCTGAATCGTCATTATCAATATTACTTTCATTACAGGTTATTGATGGATTTGATGTAATTATGTTTTCATAATCGGAATCATCAAATTCCTTCCATTCTAAATCTGAACTGGTGTCGGAAGAAGACATAGCGGTGATATGAAGATCATCGACTTCACGATTCATTGATATGTGAGGTGTTAATTCACCAGCGCTATAATACCGACTAACAACAACATCATCTGACCTTGACATATCAATGTGATTTATTCGAAACTAAATTCGAATGAGATTTGAAGAATTAAAAAAAAAAATAAAGGTTCCTGCGCCACACGACATCAAATCGGAAAAAAAAAATCTGCACTTTTAAAAACTTACCTCGAATAATCTTATAAAAGGGAAGTTATGATTGAACTACCTTTTTTTTTTGAAACAATAATTGGTGCCGTTGCTTGGAGTATTTCAAGGTGAAAAGTACCTTTCTATAATAATTTTCAAATAAAATCTGTTCAGAATATTAAATTTCTTTTCCTTTATTCCTTTACTTTTTTGTTTTTTTTTGTAAAAAAAAAAAAGTTTTCTTGAACTAATTTACAAATAATCAAATTAATTCACTTATTTTCGGGTCAAAATTTAGAAAACACCGTGACGTCATTCAAGACAAAATCTCTCGACTTTTTTTTCAAAGCAATTAAAGTTTCAAGAAAAAATAAATATAAAAAGTATAAGGAGCCAGCCAAACAAGAGATGTCCCGAGATTATGCGAATGATTGTGTAAGAAAGTTATATCGGAAAAAGAAAGAAGGGTAAGAAGACGAGGGAAAAAAGGTTGTGCGTTTGAGAAGGATGAGAAAAGAGAGAAACAGATCTCAACTTTTTTAATCTGTTTAGAAAGGAGAGGATTTAAATTTCAATTTCAAGGAGAGTAACTTTTTTTTTTATGAAATCTAATTCAAAAGATTTTAAGACATTTCCTAAAAACCGTAAATTACATACACGGAAACTGAAAGGAGAAAAAAAAAAAAAAAAAAAAAAAAATTTCGTCACAATAAAAAAATTAAAAAAAAATTTAAAAATAAAAAATAAGATTAATTTTTTTAATGCTTTGCAAATAATAACAACAAAAAAATAAAAAAAAAAAATAAAATTAAAGCAATAATGTGCAGTGATCAACAAATCGTTGAACATATTAAAATTTAATATATTACTGCTTCAAAGATGATTTGTACACAACATTTGATATGAAATTTTTTTTTTTTTTTAAACCTTGGATTTAAACACCTGTGAATACGTGTTTAATTTCTTGTAAAACCTTTTCTTAAAAATGCGCAATTAAAAGCAACATCAGAGGGAGTGTTGTCGAACAAGCTTCTGCGAATAGTGAGTTCCAAACAAATATACATCTCTGTGCTTTGAATCAAAGCCATTAAACCAATTTTTTTTCATTTATTTCATTAATTGTTTATAAAATATTGAAATAGATAAAAATAAAAATAAGATGGTTACAAATTAATCTGTGGTGTCATCAAAAAAAATTATTTGAACGACACTTAATTGGTGTAATTTAGTGGGTAATTTTTAATTTGATTACCGCATAATTAACGTTAGTCCCTAATTTATTACATTCACGCTTGCACAATTCTTCCATTGGAAGTAATTTGTTTGACCTTTCTGTTCGGTCTTATCCTTTCAATATGATAACATGATCAAAATATAAATAATCTTTTTGATGTTCGCTTTATATTTAGAATAATTGAAGTTTAATAAGTTTTCTCTAATCCTTCAATTATTTTCGGATCTCACGGTAAAATGACTACGTCGTTGATAATTGTGAACCAATCGTAACAAGATTTAATTTCTTGTCAGCATATAATGGAAAAAAACCTGGAAAAGAATATCAAATTAAAGTTTCCAATGCAGGTTTTAAAATATTGTGTTTCATCTTTATTTTCAAATGATTATTACCATTAGGGGAAGGTGTGAAAATTTTATTTTTATTATCGTTATTATGGTTATTATTATATTATTATGATTACCATTAAAATCAACTAAATAAGTTGACCAACCAAATTTCTATTGACGCTTACTATCCGCAAGGAGGACTTTGAAATCGTAGAGATTAATCGTGCTGATGCAGAAAAAACGTCAGTATGTGAAAAAAGCCAGCCTCAAAGCCATTCCTGGTTCTTTCACAAAAATAAAATTCCTTTCATCATCATTCCCTTCACTTTCTTTATGCTTGTAAATATGATTCCGTTGCCTTCGCACCAAAACTTTATCCAACAAATAAGTCAAATACGTCGAAATAATGTTAATTATGATGTTATCTTTATCGTAAACCGGAAACCTAATACCAAACAAATGATCGGCCATTCTCTCATTTTGAAAGTTAGAAGTTCTTATTTTCAAAAAGAATTTCAACGTATTGACGAATGTAACAAACTTGATACGACAAATTGTTATCAACTTAAATTTCCAGAATATACCTTTGAGTTATTTGACATCATTCTAGAGTAAGTTCCTTTTTTATTATTTACTACCGTCTCTTTTAATAATTATTTTTTTTTTTTTTTTGCTGGTAGGTTTATCTACGGTAACGAAATCGATATTTCGACCAAGGATCCGGAATTCATTCTAAACTTAATGAAAGCTGCCAACCGTTTCGAGCTGACGAGTATGTTTGAGTATCTTCAAACTTACATTATCGAATCTCAGTCCGGTTGGATCAACGAAAACATTTTCAAATTAATTCCTGTGGTATTTGATAACGAAGATTTTCCACAACTGCGGACATCAATTATCCGTTTGATCTGTAAAGATACGAAATGGTTTATCAGCTTTGATCAATTTAATGAGTTGTCTGAAGAATTCTTGACCAAATTCTTACAAATAGATGATTTATCAATCGAAGAATTTCATGTTTGGAATGCTGTGCTTGATTGGATACTTTCAAAGAATGTGAATCTCTGTCAAAAGAAAAAAGTAACTCAATGGTCGGATCAAGAGGTGAATTATTGCAAGGTATCATTAAAACCTTTTGTACCGTTTATCCGGTTCTTTCAAATATCTAGTTTTAAATATTGGGATTACATTCATGAGTTTGATAAAGTTTTACCAGAAGGGCTCGTGGAAGAAATGCTAGAATATTATTTAAAAGGTTCCCTACCAACCCACTTTCCTTTGTTGCCATTAAGAAACGTTCGAAAGATCGATTCGGACTTTATTTCGTCAAGGCAAGCTGAAATCATTTCACTTTGGATCGGTAATAAGGATCTAAAAAAATCGATGGGTGTTGAATGGGAGTTCAAATTTAATCTCTTGTATAGTACAAAGATGCATGTTCATTCAATCGACGAATTTCATAGAAAGTGTGATAATAAAGGTGCTACCATTTTGGTGATCAAAACTAACGTTCCGGAAGAGATCATTGGTGGTTTTAATCCTGTTTCTTGGAATGATAACGAAATTAGAAGTAATTTTGAATTAGAAATTTCACCGAGATATTCTCCAGATGATAGCGACGAAAATTCGACGATGGACACAGGGGAACATCCACTTTTAATTTCTTCAACCGTCGATTTTTTCCCGACAAATACTTCAAGTGATTGTAATAATTCATCTAATAGTGAACCTGTTGATTTTTCTCCAATAGCGACTTCAAGCGATGGTAATGTCGCAACTGCACCTAATGATAAAGCTATCATTACTTTATTCGAACAAACTGATGCTTTCTTGTTTTCGTTCAACAAGGGTGATCGGAATAATATGGGAAGGATTAGTTCATTATGTGTGTGGGAATTTATTCATAATTGTAGAGAGTGCGGTCCATGTTTTGGTACAACGGACCTATGGATTACTCCTAAGGTTGCTCATTCAACGAGGTTTAATATTCCTTATCAATGTTTAGAGAATTTTGGATATCATCGACAAGATTCATACGAGATCAATTTAAGGGACGAACCGGGTGGTTTTCAATTCGTAGATTACGAGGTTTTTCAGGTGGTTCGTGTTTAAAATAGAATGGATATTTTTTTTTTTTTTAGCTTTTAATGTTTGCTCTTTATATATTTCGATACTTTAACCAAAAAAAAAATAAATATAAAATTAGATTCAAGAAAAAATTTCATGGAATAAAAATTCTTATTACTTAGTCGAATACAATTTAATAACGGAAAAACGTAGCATTTGTTCGCTGTACACTTTTAAATTTTAACCGACTTTTAAACGAAAAATAAATAAAAAATTCATCCCCCAAAAAAATCAGAAATTCTCAATCCATCAATTCCCTTACTAAAATTATATGATAGGTTGGTTTGCTATCCGATTATACTTTCTAATGTTCGATCGTTCTCTGGACATTTGTAATTAGGAAAACCTTTGAAACGATTTAATTATTTATTATTTACTTCAAACAATATATACATTATAAACGTTAGGAATCGGACACACTTTAAACAAACATAAAACATTAGGGATCGTCAGGAAGGCATTGCATCATCATAATCAAAAAAATTAAAAAAAATCTCGATTTTGGTAGTGCGTATATTATTTATTACCTTAAAATTCTCTTCATATACAAGCTAAGTTAAAAAAAAAAAATCAATAAATAATAACTCCTCAAATCAACGTAGTATGTGAATTTATCATTGCACTATGATGTCTTGTTTTGTTCGTCATTTCCAACTTGGATTCTAATTGTAAATCAATTAATAAATAATTATCTACAAAGTAGGGGAACAAAGGTTTCTGATACTGTGCGTTAGTGCCAAGATTGTTCTGTTGGGAGAATTAATAATGATGACGATCTCTTATTCAACCAATTAACCCATTAAACAATGTTTATATTTGTTTGTATTCAAATTCCGGCTCCTGTGTGTCAGTCATTTGCCCCCTTTATTGGGGTTTGAGGCAAAGTTTTTGACGATTCTGCGGTTGATGTGTGTCAAATACTTCATCATTATCAGGTCGTACACGTTTATTTGACGATTATAAAAGTATCGCCAAAAACTTTTGACGCTACCTACCGGTTTCCCTTCCTTTCCCTCCAACCACATCCTTACCTAAAAAAAAAAAAAAAATAAATTACTTAAAATGGTATTAACTGTTGCATTTACGGGTACTTTTAAACTAGACACTCGTGAAGCTCACGAAGCTAGAGCTCAAACAAATGGGTATAAAGTTGTAAAATTTGTAATAAAGTCTACGACTTTCCTCGTATGTGGAAAAGACGGTGGACAAATAATTCAAAAAGCAAAGAGCATTGGTGTGAGGGTTATCAGCGAAGAAAAGTGGATGAAAGTTCTTGGAAAGATGGAAACGGCTAAGGCCGGTCATAAAAGATCTAGAAGCGATAACAATTCCGAAAATAGAAATCAAAGAGAATTAGTTTATCTGGAATCTCACAGATATCATAGATTTTGGCAAATGAGACGTGTTTACAAAACGACCTTTATCCGAACCGGTTCGATCGGTGCAAAAGGAATGGAAACAAGTAAAGAACATGAGACCAAGGAGCAAGCCAAGGATAGTATGGCTTCGATGCTTGCGGCTAAAAGGGCATCTGGATATAGAGGCGCTAGAAGACCACAAGAGCTTGATTATGATGATTCATCTGACTCATCTGATGACAATTTCGAGAATGAGAGAGTTCAGGTTTCGTATTCACCTAAACGTGAACAAAAGAAGCAAAGGACCGATATTGAGGAAGATAAAGTGGATAGTAGTTATCAAACCGATTCTACTTTACGTGAAGATGACGTTGAAATGAGTGACATCGAAGTTCCATTGAAAAATGATGACACCTTAGGTTCACCCAAGAATGTCGCTAAAAATTTGCTTGATGAGGGGCAAGACAACTCCGTCCCCTCCCAAGACGTTGAAATTTCTCATAATATTAAAAAGAGCACACGCGCTTGTTCAGAGTGGAAAAAGGTAATAAAGTCATTTGACATGTTATTTTATAATCATCTCATTATATTTTAAATTTACTAAAATTATTTGTTCAAAGGAAACGAAAGAAGAAAAGCGAAACTGCAAACACTCGAAAAATGGAAATAAAGATAGGAGTTTGTCAACACCTCCAATGTCGATCATGAAAGGAAATTCCGTTGATGTGGTTTTGGCCTTTTCTTGGAAACCTGATGAAGTTGACCCAACCGGTTGGTGGGTCTCAGAAAAACTTGACGGTGTAAGAGCATTTTGGAATTCTAAAAGTGGAAAATTTTATTCAAGAAATGGAAATGAGTTCGTGGCTCCTTCTTGGTAATTACAATTAAGCTATTTTACAATTATTTATTTTATGAGATTTACTTACATCCGTATGTTCATTATATAGGTTTACTGATGGAATTCCAAGAGACCGAGATCTCGATGGTGAACTTTTTGGTGGTAGAGGAACATTTCAATCTACAATAAGTATTGTGAAAGCTGGTGATAAAGAATGGGAAAATATAAGTTATGAGGTATTTCTTTCAAACATTTTATTAAAATCTTTTTTTTTTTTTTAACTTTTATTGAATAATAATAAATATTAAGTAGATCTTTGATGTTCCAACCTTGGGTCGCATTCCCTTTGAGAAACGCATGAATTTTTTGGAAAAGATGATCGAGGAAAATAAGTAAATATAAAATCTGTTTTACATTTAGAATTACCCAGCGTTTTACATTCTAACTAGTTGTCGATTTTATAAATAGGCCAAAATATGCGAGAATGGTTAAGCAAAGACTCGTCAAATCCGAAGGGGATGTTTACGATGAACTTGAACGAGTTGAAAAATTGGGTGGCGAAGGACTCATGCTTCGTAAACCAGGTAGTTTATACGAAACGGGTCGGTCAAAAACTTTATTAAAGGTATTTAATATTTTTGAAAATAAAACTTTTTTTTAATGCATAGTTCTGCGGTTCATTCATTCATTTACTTTATCTTAGGTTAAAACTTTCCATGATGGTGAAGCTATTGTTATAGCTCATGAACCTGGTAAAGGTAAATATTTAAGACAATGTGGAGCTCTTCGATGTGAGATGGCTTGCGGAAAAGAATTTAAAGTTGGTTCAGGAATGAATGATCATGACCGTGCCAATCCTCCACCGATAGGGAGTATAATCATATACAGATGCCAAGAACTCACAAAAGAGGGCTCTCCAAGATTTCCTGTATATCTTGGCGTAGCACTTGATAAAAATGGTCCAACGGATCCAAATTTCGGTCAAAAATAAAATTAATAGTCGAAGGAAAAAAGAGCATGAAGGATTATAATCGATAAATTTGATTTTTGATAAAGAAGTTTAACCTTATAAATATATATACATTTATTTATTATAACCAGTCATTACTTTATTTCGATAATAAAAGAAAAAGCTTTATTCATTATTCCATCATAGTGACTTTGTAAAGAAATCCAAGTTGAAAATTTTGGATGATTTCTTTTAGGATTATAACAAAACAATCTCTGCACTTTTCATATCATAATTGGCGTGAAAGAAACTAAAAAATCAAACCTTGTTCATAGACTAAATTATCGATTATACGATGATTTCATCAATTTGTTTTATAAACAAGAGCGTTCAGAGATAAGTGGAATCGAATTCTACTCGATATTATATCTGTTCTTCTTAAGAAATATCCTTACTCGAAGTAATCGATTTCGAATAATTCAAAGAAAATTTTCTCGTCGTTACAAGCTTTTTTGATACTCTTGTGTGTGACGTAACATGACCAGTAAGCTCGGATCATATTTCAAAATTGCTTTCCTGACCGCAGCAGTATCTCAATTCTTTATAAAAAGAAAAATGTATAGAAATCAACTCTCACTACCTAAATATATAGAAACCATAATTCCTAATAGCTCTCTTTATGAATATTATAAAGCCAATAATACAAAATCAATTAGAAAGAATGTTTCACAATATGGGTCTTCTAGTATCAATGACGACGTTGAGCGAGACGAGAAAATGCAAACTTCTAATCACATGACAAACGCGATGGGTAGTGATAATGACAATATAATTTGTCCTGAAGATGAGAAGATTGTAAGTGATGAAGATATCGACATTGAAAATATAAGCGAAGTGTCTGTTGATGATAATATGAAAGATGAAGATATCAATATCGGAAATGTAAGCGAAGGATCCGTTAATGAGAGTGAGGAAATTATCGATATCGAAAATGTAAGCGAGAATTCCGATATTAAAAGCGTTTGTGATGTCGAAGAACATGGGGATTATGAAAAGCCTAATGAACTTCATGATGGATATGAAGAAATTCAGGTTGATGGGCCCGTTGATGACATGAGGAACATTGTTGACGCATTATTGAAAGATAATGTTTTGGATAAAGTTAAAGGATCTAAGGATGACTTGGTACATGTTTAATTGATTAGGTTTCAAACGTTTTGATAAACTATATAAATCCACTTTAACAAATTTACGCGTAAAATTTACTCTTAGGCTTTCGAAATTTTACAAGAATTAATAAATGAATGTACCTTGGACGTGGCTTTTGAAGTACACCGGCAAGCAAAGACAGGAATACTTGTAAAAGAAATTGCCAATGCACAAACTTATCAGAGCAAAGATTTCAAGTATATCATTAGATTTATTGTATTCAAGCTTTTCTTTTAATTTTAAAAAAAAATTTATATCAAAATAGTGACTTTCCGAATTTGATCTATGAAGAAGGATACGATATATACGGTCAAGATATCAACACTTTGAAATCACAAGCAGAAAAACAACGTTGTCTAAATTGTAGTGTAATGATTCCAGTTGCAACATATGCAAAACATTTCTCAAAGTGTCTCGGATTGACTAAAGGACGTACAGCGACAAGAAATGTTAATTATACAAAGTAAGTAATTTATGTTCTTATTTTGTTGTTAATTATGCTAAAAAAATTTTTGCAAATTGTAGTGAACGAATAGACAAATTTTCTGTCTTTGATTTTCCCGGACATTCTCCGAATGTTTCGTTTATATCAAATGCGGAATTTGATATCTCACAAGGTTACTTTTTACATTTTAATACATTTTAAATTCATTGAATTGTTAAAATTCATTTTATATTTACAAATAGATTTGATTAATGAACCTCACGTGACAAAACATACCTATGCTAGGAAGAGAACGATGTTGCCGGCTCAGGCATGTTCTTGCTACAGTTTATTTGACCTTTAAGAAAATAATCATTATAAACATGCTAACGAAATCATATTTATATTAATTAATAGTCTCTATCGTCGAATTCTAAGGAAGATGAGGCTAAAGAGTCTTGGTTATGATATTATTCAAATTTTAATAAAGCACAGTTAGTATTCCATAAAAATAGTGATATTCAAGAGAATTCAAAGTTCAAGATAATCCTCTTTAAGCACTCATTTTCGATTCGATTTTAAAAACGACAAATTTAAAAACTAATATTTCTAGAATGGAAGTGCTGTCACATTCATTTAGAATGTTAATAATGATAACGATAATAAACCTGTTTACTGACTAATATCTTCGAAATAATTTACCCAAAATTAGAGTTGATATTCTACTAATCGACATAATAATAGTTAATTAACATAATATGTACTGCACAACTGCGCCGTAACTGAAAAGTTTTAACCAGAATTGTAGGCACAATATCAATGCACAAATTATTATATAAAAGCGTCAAATTCCACACTTCACATACCCAAAAGGTTGTTAGCTTGTACTTTTCAAAAAAAAAAAAAAAAAAAAATACAAAAAAATTTTAAGAAATTTTCATCATCATTCATGGGAACAAAAATCAAAGCACTTGTACTTCAGGCAAAAGGTGGAGAACAAGTCGTTAAAGAAGTAGATAAACCTGTTCCAAAAGCCAAGCCAAATGCAGCCATTCCTGGTGAAATCGGTGACTTATTGGTTAACGTCAAAGCTGTGGCTTTAAACCCTGTTGACTGGTAAACATTGTATCTCTTGGTAAAATCAAACTCCATATCAAATAAATAATTTTTTATTGGTCATTATCACATAATAATAGGAAACAAGCTGATGCAGGATTTTTTATCGATGCATATCCTGTTACGCTCGGTAGCGATGCGGCCGGAATTGTTGAAGCCGTAGGCGAAGGAATTACCGAGTTTTCCGTAGGTGATGAAGTTTTGGCTTTTACAAAACTTGGAGTTCCTGGTGGATATGGCGCCTTTTCGGAATACTCTCTATTCGAAGCTGCTACCACAATTAAGGTTAATGAACATATTATTATTGTTGATGTTATTTATATATAAGATGAAAAGAATAGGATATATCAACTTATTTCTCAATAATTGTTTAGAAACCACCTTTTTTTTCTTGGGAACAAGCCGCAACAATTCCTGTCGGAACATTAACAGCAGCAATCGGATTATATCATGAATTGAATTTACCACTTCCTACAGAGAATCCAAGTTGGTTTCGTGAAGAATTTATTCTGGTAATTACAAGTTAAATGAGTTTTTTTTTAAAAAATTTTTTTTTTTTTAACTTTTTATAAAAATAGATTTGGGGAGGCTCTTCCTCAGTCGGTTCGTATGCTGTACAACTTGCAGCTAATACAGGACTCTCGGTTATAGCAACAGCTTCTCCTAAAAATCATGATTATCTTAGATCAATTGGAGCTGCTTACGTTATCGATTACAATGCACCTGATGTTATCGATCAAATTAATTCTATTACTAATAATCAGTTAAAATACGTTTTTGATATTATTGGTTCAGAATCTTCTAATATTGGATTAAAAGTTTTGGCACCAAATGGAAAACTCGCACATACATCAGAAGGTCCAACTGATACCAAGGACGATGTTCAAATTAAGCGTGTTGTTCTTGGTGTGGCTCATAGAGATACTCAAGGTTTTCTCAAAACTGTTAATAAACTTGCAAAAGTTATTGAACAGTTACTTTTTGAAGGTAGAATACAACCAAATAATATTGAAGTTATTGAAGGTGGACTTAATGGTATTCCTTCTGGATTACAAAAATTGAAGGAAGGTCGTGTTAGCGCAACAAAATTAGTGGCTAAATTTGATTAAACTTGTAAAGTTCATGAGAATATTTATCTTTTTTTCTTTGTATATTAAATTTCAAATTAATCTCGAAATAGAATTTATTAATTAGTGTTGAATCTTACCTGACTAAATATTTTGGGTTGTATTATTATTAACCTTATTTCACAATTATAAAAAAAAATAACTCATTTTTTTTTTTTTTTTTTCGCTAATGCAAAATTGATAAAATTGATTCATTTGATTTATTTATGAAAAAAGGGATATACATAAAGAATTCTATTCTATTTTAAATATAATCAATTGCTTATAAATTTATTTTTTTAAATTGCAAATAAAAATGTAAATTTTCTATAAATGTAGTTGAATTTAATACTATTTCTAGTTGAAATATTTGTTTTTTTGATTAGCACAAATTAACACTAATTGACTTAAATAAGATAAAACAATTTAGCATTAATTTAGAATATAAATTCAAACATAAAATAGTTTAAATTAACCTTAATTTGATCAATACATATTATAAAAATCAGTCAATATTAAATAATAATACAAATTACATTTTTATATTTTTATTCAATTTTAAAAATTATTAATAGAATTTGTATATTATTAATATTATGGAAAATGTAAATTACTTTATAAATATTAAATTAATATTAATAAAATTAAGATTTAATTAAATTTGAATCTGTTAAACAACTTTACTTAGTCTATAAAGTTAACTGTAATCCAAAATTTTATCAAAATAGCTAAAAGTAAAGTTAAAAATAAGAACTAAGTTAAAAATCTAACAGAAATTACTAATAAATTTCTATTAAAATTAATAAAATAGTCTTTATAAGAATAATTCATACAGTTTAAAAGGAAAATGTATATTTCTAAAAAAGTCTTTCATTTAATAATCAACAAATCTAAATAACTTACATAGGTAGTAAAAAGAAATATTAGACTATAAAAGACTAGAAAAAGATAGTCTAAACAAATGGATTTACATTTTTACAATTTCAAAAATCCAGATAGAAAAAGTAAAAAAAGCAGAAAAAGAATTTTATGATAATTATATTACATTAACAGTAAAACATTTTTCTTAAAATAATATTTTATATATTTTTCTTTTTTAAAAAATTAGGTTCTATTGTTTTACTTAAAGATTAATAACTGAAAATATATACAAAGAAGTGTTTTTCACTTATCTAATTTTATACTTTCAGCATTTTTCTAGTAAACTAAAAAAAAATTCATTTTTTGAAGATAATATATTAGTTTATATATTATAAGTTGTACAAGAATTTCTGCATTTTTAAATGTAAAAGTATTTGCATAACTTATTTAAAGTCTTGATCTTAATCTAATTAAAAACTTGTAAACTGCAGTTAAAATGAAAATTTGAAATTATAATCCTTAGCCATTAAGTATTCATAAACTTAAAATGTAATGAAAGAGGTTTAAAAAATGATTCTGCAAAAAGTATATTATAACTTAGTATAATTAATGCTAAATAAAATTTAGGTGATAATTATAAATAAAGGTAAACATATTAAATATTGATATATATAATTTATAAATAGAAAATAAAATTGACTATAGTCCTAATAAAAAATTTTTATTACTAAAATAAAACTGTATAATATTTTTGTTCTCCTCCTCCAGTATTTATACTTTACATCATTCTTAATATTAATATTATTTTTTATAATAAACCAGTCACTTATTAAAGTATCTTAAGTATTTTTATAAATTCTATGCTTTTATCTTATAAATATTATATTGTAAATAATAATATAATATAATGTTTTAACAAATTTAAGTTCACATTTTTTATTTATTTGTAAAATAATATTTTTGAATATTTAGTGTATTATTTCTTTTATTCTAATGCTTATATTCAATAAATATTAAATTAACTATATACTTTTTACACAAATTTGTAATAAATAAAAAATAAACTATAAATCATATAAATTATTATACTATTATATATGTAAAATTAATTTAATATCTATACATAATTTATCATAATTTTCTTTTATAAAGAATCCTTAAATACCATTATCATTATATTTGCTATTACTACCTAATTAATCAATTAATTCAAGAACAAACAGATAATTTATTTTAATTATTTTTTAAGTATATTTAGTTATATTTATTATTTGTTTATTATTTATGTGATAATACAAATATAACTTAACCTTTTAGCAAGTGAGATGAAAAACTTTAACAATAGTACTTTGCAAAGATAGTTAAACATGATAAAATGGTTAAATAAAGAACTCAAAACTCTTTAAATACTTTACAAAAATTCATTTAAAAACATTTATCATTCAATAAATACTGATAATGAAATCTTTAGATATTCTATTTATTATTTATATCAATAGTATTTTTATATATTAATATAGCGGTATTATTTTATTATAATAGTAGTACTATAAAAAATAGCATTTTTATTGAATACATATTTTATTAATATAGGTTTAATTAAATAATTTTACGAGATTGTCTGATATCATTTTAAAATGATCTCCGAATGATTTTCGAATGATCTGATCATTTGTCATTTTGGTCATTTAAATGGCCAAATTTTAAATGCTGGTCAGGAAAATATTTCAATCCTATCTTTTGAGATTACATGATATAATCTTCATTGATCAACCAGTCATTTGAGTCATTAGAGGTCATTTGGATCACATGCCATCACGATATTGAACGGAATTACATAAAATTTCGCACAATCCTAATGAGCGTGTTTTAATAAATATTAAACGTATATTCGGATTTGGACTGTACATGATCAACGATCGACAAATTTTTTATGAATTTTTTTTTAGTAATTCATATTCACGAAGATGGAAAGATAAAATTTAAGGGTGTTGTCGAATTTTTAAACTATATAAAAGAGCGTACCTTCAAAAAAAAAAAAAAAAATTTAAATTAAATTAATTAACGATGCCAATTAGTATTTCATCGTTCGGATTAACTGACATACCCACTCTCTTAACAATATTTATAATCGGCTATGTAACACAATTTTATTATCGTTATTTCACTCGTATAAATCCTATACCCGGTCCTATCCCACTTCCAATTATTGGTAACGTTCATCAAAAAATTGGATATAGTTTAGGTGAATGGTATAAATTATTGCATAAACAATATGGGGACATGTTTGAAGTAAATTATGCAGGGCAACGTTTAATCGTATTATGTAGACCAGATCTAATTGAAAATATGAATACAACTTCAACAAAAACTAAATATCCTATTAGATTTAACAATACAGAAGGACTTGTTGAATATGGAATTGATGCTGTAGGAGTAGGCCATAATAATGACCACAAATCTTGGAAATTTAATCGTCAATTTTTTACTCAGGCTATGTTAACACCAAGTTTTAATCATCTAGCTGTCGAATGGACAAATGAATTATGGAAAGAAATGGAATCTTATTGGAATAAAATTGGAGAAAATCAAGAATTCGATCTTACAAAATGGATGCATAGATTTACCAATGAAATTATTTTTAAAATTGCAACTGGAGTAAAAAATAATTCTGTTGCTGCCTATTATTATACCGTTGTTGTTCCTGAAAGTATTAAGTCTTTAAATGAAAATGATCAAGAAAAATTGAAATATTCTGAAGATTTTGTTCAATCAGTCGAAACTTATATGAATGGTATTGGTTATTTTTTTGTTTTCAATAAGCTTATACGTAACAATGTTCCATTTCTTCGCGGAAAAGTAAAGAGTTTATTAAAAAATAAGGTTAATCTTTTTGATAAAATAACTAAAATTGTCAAAGAAAGAAGAATTGAAATTGAGAATACACCATTAGATCAACCGCTTCGTCATGATTTTTTGACGTCACATATAACCGCAAATACTCCACGTGATATAAATCTTATTAAACGTAGTGACGATGTTGATATGTTGAGACCAATGAACGATAAAGAGATTTTTTCTATGATATTTGAGTCGATTATCGCTGGAACTGACACTGTAAGTAAAGTAATCTTTTTTTTTTTAAAAAAAAAAAAAATTCCTATATAAACTCATCTCTTTAAATTATAGTCGGCGAATATGTTTTGTTTTATCGTATATTATCTCGGACAATATCCTGAAGTAAAAAAACGATTACGGCAAGAATTCGATGAAATTTTTGGAAATGACTTAACAAAACCTGTAACATATAAAGATCTTGAAGAATTACAATATTGCGATGCAGTTATCAAAGAAGTAAATCGTCATTGTCCTGTAGCTTTTATGATCGGTCGCGTAAGTGCTGAAAGTGATAACGTTGGAGGATACGAATGGCCAAAAGGATCTGTATTTCAAATGTATTTCGGCTCAATAATGAAAAGTAAAAATTATTGGACCGATCCTGAAAAATTCGATCCTAACAGATTTTATAAAGTTGAAGAAAGTGATAAAGATAAATATTTACTTGAAAAGAAAAAAATTAAAAATACTTATTCTATGTTTGGAGGTGGAATTAGAATGTGTCCTGGAAGAAAATTG